ACAACAACAACAACAACAACAACAACAACAACAACAACAACAACAACAACAACAACAACAGCAGCAGCAGCAGCAGCAGCAGTGATAGCAGCATGTACAGCAGCACACGCATCGGGTCTCCCCCCCTTCAGCCCCTCCAATTCCACCAGCCTAGCCCACAAACCCTAAACCCTAAACCCTAAACCCTAGGCGCACCCCTCTGCGAGTTTTATAAACCCTCAATCGATTTATTTGGTGCTGCAGCTGCTGCTGCGCCTCCTCCACGTCTTCTAGAGGCGAAACCCCCGACATAAGAACTCCTGGGCGCCCTTCCTTTAGAGCCTGTTCCCAAACCCTAAACCCTAAACCCTAAACCCTAAACCCTAAACCCTAAACCCTAAACCCTAAGCCCTGGGTTCTAGAGAACATAATGGAAAAGAGTGCCTACAGCAGGCGCAAGATTTGGGCGGGTGGTTGCAGATCTCTAAGTAAGGCTTATTAGGGTTTAGGGTTTAGGGTTTAGGGTTTAGGGTTTACCTTTTGTCTTTGTACAGCCTCTACTAATTGGTTTTGCTGCGCTTCTTCTGTTTTCTGCTGCAGCCGCTGCAGCTGCTGAATTTCCCTCGCCACCTTCTTATCCCACAAAAGACGAATTTGAGGCAGCCTGCAGCAAACCCTAAACCCTAAACCCTAAACCCTAAACCCTAAACCCCTCCTAAACCCTAAACCCTCAGGGTTGTGTGCCTCAGGCCGTGTACAAAACTGCTTTTACTCCTAAACCCTAATCGTGAGCGTGCGGTTTAAAGCTCTAAACCTTAAACCCTAAACCCTAAACCCTAAACCCTAAACCCTAAACCCTAAACCCTACTTGGTTTGGAGTATCCAGTAGCTAAATGCATCCCTCAGCAGCTCTACCAGTATTGCTCTTCTTACGATCTCTATTCGTTGGCTGCTGTCTAATAAATATACCCGCAGCAGATAAGCCTGTGCCTCTAACCCCATGCTGCTGCTGCTGCTGCTGCTGCTGCAGATGTTGCTGCTGCTGCTCCGTGCAAGCGCAGGAGCTGTCGTCGTCGGCCGTTGCTGCAGCAGCATTTGCTGATGAACAGCGAAAGGTTGCTGCTGCTGTTGTTGCTGCTGCTGCTGCTGTAGCAGATGTGCTCCGTTTACAAAGGAGGGAAGCTGTCGGAGGCTGGAATCTGCTGCTGTTGCTGCTGCTGTTGCTGCTGGAGCTGCTGCTGTTGCTGCTGAGCATGCAAAAGGGGCATTTAAATTCATCTTTGGCTGTTGCTCCTGCTGCAGCTGCTGTTGCTGATGCTGCTGCTGGGGATAAGGGTAGCAAATGGACGGGCAGAGCTGGTGCTGCTGCTGATGATGAAAAAAACGCTGCTGCTGCTGCTGCTGCTGCTGCTGCTGTTGCTGTTGCTGCCGCCGCAGCGGAGGCTTGCGCTCAGAAAGAAGGAGAGACGCAGGGCCCGAAGGCTTCGAAGCTGCTTCCAGCTGCTGCTGCTGCTGCTGCTGCTGCTGCTTTTGGAGTTCATCTAGCCGCTGCTGCTGCTGCTGCAGCAGACGCTGCTGCTGCTGCTCCAGCTGCTGCTGCTGCTGCTGCTGCCGCAGCACCAAGTCCATTGCCAGATGGCGAGAGCCAGTAGACAGAGGTGTTTCTGCTGCTGCAGCAATCTGCTGCTGCTGCTGCTGCTGCTGCGCTGCTTCACATAGAGGTGCTTTTGCTGCAGCTGGGGCTTGAGGAAACAGCTTCGCCGCTTCTTGTATCAGCTGCTGCTGCTGCTGTTGCTGCTGCTGCTCTTGCTGCTGCGCTACTCCAGCAGATGCTGCTGCTGCTTCTCTTGCTGCTGCTGTTGCTGCTGCTGCTTTGCTAACAGAGACAGGAGTTTGAGGGCTGCTGCCGACGGGGGATGGAGAGCAACTGGCAGTGAAGGTTCCTGAGATGACTAAAGACTGCTGCTGCTGCTGCTGCTGCTGTTGCTGCTGCTGCTGCTGCTGCTGCTGCTGCGGCTGCTCGGAACCTCTTGCAGCAGCAGCAGCAGCAGCAGCTGTTGCTGCTGCCGCATGCCTGGAGCCGTTGCTCAAGAGCTGTCTATACACCTCGTCGTGGCGTGCATCTGCTTCACTGACAGCTCCAAAGGACTGCTGCTGCTGCTGCTGCTGCGGTTGCTGTTGCTGCTGCTGTTGTTGCTGCAGTTGCTTTTGCTGCTGCACTTGCTGCTGCACTTGCTGCTGCTGTTGCTGCTGCTGCTGCTGCCCTGTTTTTCTCTGAATCGCTCGCTGCAGCGTGCGGTGTACCTCAGCAAAATTATTGTTGAGTTCTGCTGCTTGCTGCACATGTCTTGCTGTTGCTGCTGCTGCTGCTGCAGTTGCTGCTGCTGGCGCATCACCCCTAGGGTATGCGGATTGCCTGCCGTCGTTTTGCTGCTGCCGCAGCAGCAGCTGCTGCTGCTGTTGTTGCTGCTTTTTTCTGTGTCGCTGTTGCTGTTGCTGCAGTTGTTGTTGCAGTTGCTGCTGCAGCTGCTGCTCCCGCTGCTGCTGCAGCTGCTGCTGCCTCAGGTATTCGAGTGTTGAGCTTGAGCGCCTACGCTCTGTCCCTGTTAATGTGTCTTGCTGCCTCTGCTGCTGCTGTCGCAGCCGTTGCTGCTGCTGCTGCTGCTGCAGGAACACCTGCTGATGCTGCTGCTGCTGCTGCTTCCTTTGGGGTGCAGCAGCAGCAGCAAGCAGTGCCGATCTAGGAGAAGAAAACTCTGAATCCCTGGAGGTGTTCTCCCCGTTGCCGTAGCTAGCTGTGTAGCTAGCTGTGTAGCTAGCTGCAGACCTACCAGCAGCAGCAGCAGCAGCAGCAGAGGAGGAGCCGCAGCAATTCAACTCATATCCAAGGTGGCTGCTCATAGAACGGCTGCTACACCAGGAGCCCCCCAATGAAGGGGGGCCCCTGGGGAGAGCGTGCATTCCTGCTGCTGCTGCTGCTGCTGCTGCTGCTGCTGCTGTTGCTGTCGCTGTTGCTGTTGCTGTTGCTGTTGCTGCTGCTGCTGCTGGCGCAGCTGAGGCTGCTGCAGCATTATCCAGCAGAAGCGACGAAAGAAATGCTGTACACAGGGGTTTCGGCGTTCCTCTAGGGTTTAGGGTTTAGGGTCTAGGGTTTAGGGTTTAGGGTTTAGGGTTTAGGGTTCGGAATTTATGGGTTCAATCTTTGGGATTAATCAGCCGGGGTAATAGTCTAGGGTTTAGAATTTAGGGTTTAGGGTTTAGGGTTTAGGGTTAGCGAATCCCCTAGCAGACACTGTCGATCAACTGAGCGTAGGGTTGAGGGTTTAGGGTTTAGGGTTTAAGCTTTACGATTTAGGGTTTAGGGTTTAGGGTTTAGGGTAGACCCCAAGGAGAAAGGGTTTTCCACCCATGATCAGGGCCCTTTTGTCTACAGTTTAGGGTTTAGGGTTTAGGGTTTAGGGTCTGGGGTTTAGGGTCTACTCGCCTTCGGGGCTGCATCTGTTGTGCTCAAGCTGGCCCCAGCGAAACCCTAAACCCTAAACCCTAAACCCTAAACCCTACGCCGCTGAAATGCTTCCGTCTCCCACCTCATCTTGCTTTACCCTTCAAAAATTAGGGTTTATGGTTTAGGGTTTAGGGTTTAGTGTTTAGGGTGTAGGGTTTAGGCATGGGGCCCAGAGGTAACCCTGCGGCCGAGCCCACAGGGTCACTCTGCCCTTCTCAGCCCTAAACCCTAAACCCTAAACGCTAAACCCTAAACCCTAAACCCTGAACTTTCACCTCCAAAATTAAATTTTCAAATTTTATATTGTTTCTAGAGTATTGAATAGCAAGGAACCGCCTTGAGGGCTAGGGTTTAGGGTTTAGGGTTTAGGGTTTGTGGGGCCCGGTCTATGTAACGCAGATCACCGCTTGTCCAGCGGTTAGCGGCAGCCCCGCTGCAGGGTTTAGGGTTTAGGGTTTAGGGTTTAGGATTTAAGTTTCAGGGTTTAGGGTTTAGGTTTTTGTTTATCCCTTATTGACAAGCCTCTGCTGCGCTTCCCTGCAATGCAGACAGCAGGCTCCACCCGCCCTGACTCGTTAGGGTTTAGGGTTTAGGGTTTAGGGTTTAGGGTTTGCTCTGCAGTTTCATTGCTTTTGTCTTCACAATTTTTTTCTTTTCTTTTTCCTCCCAGACAGCTCCACACCCCTGCTGCTACGGCCAATGGATTTAGGGTTTAGGGTTTAGGGTTTAGGGCTTAGGGTTTAGGATGGAGGTTTTTACTGCGGTTCAGTGGGGTGTTGCTGCTGCTGCTGCAGCTGCTGCTGCTTCAAAGGTTTGGCGGTTGGCGTTGCTGCCCAGTTCTGAAGCACCTCCGCCTCTGTGGATGCAGGAAGATGAGGCAAACCCTAAACCCTAAACCCTAAACCCTAAATACTATGCGTTGAGTCCTAAGCTCTGAAACTATGAAAGCTGACATCGGTTGCAGGGAGTCTGCTGGGGAATCATTGGGTATCTGGAATTGCTGTTGCTGCTGCTGCTGCTGCTTCTGCTGCTGGTCCTGCTGCTGCTGCTGCTGCTGCTGCTCCTTCTGCTGCTGCTGCTGCAGTACGAGGCTGAAGAGGATAGGGATGCAGAAGATATAACTGGGCACGTAAGAGAGATGCGGTGCTCTTTGCTGCTGCTGCTTGGCAGCAACAGCACCGGCAGCAGCAGCAGCAGCTGCTGCCGCTACAGCGGAGAGCTGCTGCTGCAGCTGCTGCTGCTGCAGCAGCCAACAAAAAGAGCAGTGCTGCTGCTTCACTTCTCTGGTGCTGTTATCCAGAGGATTTCAATTAACGGCAGGCGCATCGGCCCTGACGGCCGGGCTGTGCAAAGACGTAAACCCTAAACCCTAAACCCTAAACCCTAAACCCTAAGTATTCTTCCTTGCGGGGTAATATGAGTTCTTCTTCAGCCAGATTTGCTGCTGCCCTTCCTCTTCGTGTTGCTGCTGCTGCTCCTGTCGCTGTTCCTGCCTTTGGTGCTGCCGTTGTTGTTGTTTGTGCTGCTGCCATTGCTGCTGCTGCTGCTGCTACTGCTGCTGCTGCTGCTGCTGCTGCTGCAGGATCTCTATTTGAACGCTTAGCTCAGCCTATAACTTGGCGGAATCATTTGCTGCGGATACCCGGAAGTTTGCTGCTGCGCGGCAGCAACCAGCTGTACATACACTTCGTTAATGCTTATGCTGTAGCTGGTCAGCTGTTGCTGCTGCTGTTGCTGCTGCTGCTGCTGCTGCTGCTGCTGCTGTGACGCTGCCGTTGTCTGCATTCTTTTGTTTGGTAGAAGCCACCACTTCCCACTCAAGGGTATAACATGTAGGGTTTAGGGTTTAGGGTTTAGGGTTTGCGAGTGCTGCAGAAGGCGGGGGTCTTCGTTGTTGTTTGTTGGGAGAGGAAGGTTTAGGGTTTAGGGTTTAGGGTTTAGGGTTTAGGGTTTAGGGTTTGCGAGTGCTGAAGAAGGCGGGGGTCTTCGTTGTTGTTTGTTGGGAGAGGAAGGTTTAGGGTTTAGGGTTTAGGATTTAGGGTTTGCGAGTGCTGCAGAAGGCGGGGGTCTTCGTTGTTGTTTGTTGGGAGAGGAAGGT